AGCAAAGGTTTTTGCAAACAAAGGAAATGTTAGCATCTGGTCTTAAAATATACGTGATGATTACTACGTTGGGTGAAATACTGAAATACCGAGGCTATCATATTGGACTAGAAAAAAAAGCTACGATGTCTTCATTCTATACTCTGAATCTCCAGACTGGAGCTAGGGGTTGACGGAATGTCTACTGACATGTTATTTGGCAGTTGTGAAGCTCCCTGCCCTACTTAATTTGATTTTTAAAACTCTTTTAATTTAAAATAAAAGGAATAGACTGCAACAGAATGTCCTCAAGCATAATTTTTATATCCAGCACTGCTTCTGGACCCCACATAGATTTTGTAGGTATTCTTATGAAAAAAAAAATTGAGTAGCTATGACCAAATGCTTTTGTTTGCTTTCTGGTATAAGGGTGTTCTGTGATCAGCCACGCTCACCATGGTAACTATTTTGTAAGTACCCATAATGTGCTCTCAAAATTCCAAAGGTACTCACTGGACCCAAAAGGTTGGGGACCCCAGTTTTACTGTCTAAAGAACGAAGTTTCTTTTATACAAGCATGATTAAAGAAGCTTGGATAAGTATTGCTGAATGCATTTTCTTCCATACACATGTGTATACATAGGCACAGCATCTTCATATCTTATATAACTTTCCTTTTCACAGGAAATAATTGCTTTTCTATGTCCTGGCTCCTGACACAATTTGTGGTGTGGTTTTTCCTAAACTATACACATTAAAATGAAGAAAACAGAGGATTGACTGTTCTTGTTCTTTGCCTTTTCTCTGGTGGCTCACAAGCTGTCTTTGAATGAACCCTCGTTTATTCGCTATTGAGAGAGGCATTAGTATTTTGGCTCACCAAGTACATGTGAGAGGGTAAGCACATTGGAATGTACTTCATTGTAAGTGTCTCAATGAAAACATGAATCTGATATTCTGGTAGCATACTCAGCACACCACAAACACTTATCCTATAATATTAATAAGTGCTAATGCTTTTTAATGCTATATTTGATAGGTGACAAAATTCCCAGCAAGTCTGAATCTTCAATTATGGTAGCAGAGCTGAACAACAGTGACACATTCTTTTATGTAACTCTGCCAGTATTAAATAACTTCAGAAGCAAATAGCACCTTTTTTGGTTTTTACTCCTTGGGTCTTCACAAGACATCTACTAGATCTCTTCTTAAATCAGGTTTTGGGATCCTGCAGTCATTTCAAAGTTGCTGAATTACCACAATTTACAACTCTAGCAAGCATAACCAATGGTCAGGGATGATGGGAATTATAATTCAGTACCTAAATGGTTTCAGCAGTATCTGCTGTGAGTGAAGTTAGAAATAAGCTCTCATATCTACTAAACATTAGGGGGGAAACTATGACACCATGTTTATTTCCCTTAGCTGCAGTACTGAGCTAACTTAAGCTACTATTTGTGGTCAAGGCTTATTCCTGCATCAGGAATACTAACAATTTCTCTAACAAATACTAAATAGTATTTTCTCTCCTTAGCAGTGCTGCTTCCTCCCTTAAGGATAGCTTAGTGCTGATAGATGTTTAGGCCTAGCTTAAAATTTAACAATGATGATGATGATGATGATAATAATAATCATTCTGCAGAACTACTTTGAAGTAAAACTGTTGAATTTAATTCCCCAATCTAGCTAACCTTTACATGAACACATCCACTGAAAGGGAGGCCACCCCATCTGAGAAATCAGCTGATCTTTCCCAGCTGCCAGGAAATGCTTTTTTCTGTTTTTGAAGGGTAAGTTAAGAATGCATCGTATAAATGAATCATCTGTTCTTTGCACCAATGAAGCATATGAATGACAAGTAGGAAACCTGTGTATATTTGGGTGCATATGCTTAGGTATCGGTGTGGATATTAACCCAAAGGCACAGAGATCTGAAATGTTAGAAAGCTAGCAGGATGGATTGAACAACCTCTATGAAGATTGAACCTGTACCTTCATAATTTTTTGGTGGGACAGATTTTGTTACTACAACAGATGGACTTATAACTATTATCAATTTCTCTTTCTTGTTTTTTGGGTGGGGGGTATGGCTTTTGCTATGATAAATACATTCAGCAGCATAAATTGTTGAATAACTTTGGTAACTGACTATAAGTGGCATGTACGATGTTGTACTAAGTAAGTACTTTATGTAATTATGCAAACTAATTATGGGGCTTTCTGACAGATATTTTCCCCAATTTATATTTACCATTGTGTGACTTTTACATAATACTTACCTGAGACAAGTATATGTGGGTTGGAAGCAGGACCCACGAGGTGACTTAAACACCAAGAATAATATATTCAGGGCCAGAATTCAGAATTCAACTCAGCTTGCTTGGGGCAGTTTAAAGCTGCAGCTTCTCAGCTGGGAGATCTCCAATTAGCCCAGAACAAACTCAAGCGCACACACGCTTGTGTGTCAAACAAGCCGTTGTTGGCACACAACCATTCCCAAGGTTGGGCTTCCTTCCCTTTTTCCTGAGATTTGGCGCGGGCGACGGAAGGGGTCGGAGTCACATGGATGCAACGCGTTTGATTAATGTTCAAGAGCTGCTCCTGCTGCGATCCTCCAAACCTCTTTGCTCCACGGAGGAGGCCGCTCATTTCCTACTGCAGGGTCCCCCTTCCCTACTGGAAACGAGCACTTACGGGTGGGCGGGAAGAGGCAAGTTGCTGCGTAGCCGTGGGAGCCTGTCTCAGCCCCTTAGGTCCCCACTCCGTAATGGAAGCGTGCGGGCGCTTGGACTGTTTTCTTTTCTGAACTCCGTTGGGGGTGGTAGCGGGGGTCTTTTCCGAGTCCTACTGGCCGCCTTGGGAGGAAGGCGAAAGTTTTAGCGGCGCTTCTTTTGGAGGGTGGGAGAGAAATAATGACAGAAGAAAGCAAAGAAGGCAAAGGCGAGAGCGGGAAGGATCCGGAGAAGCAGCTACGCCTGCGGGTGTGCGTTTTGAATGAGCTGCTGAAGACGGAGCGCGACTACGTGAACACTTTGGAGTTTTTGGTGTCGGTGAGTTAGATCTCTCCCCCTCCCCCCCCCCCCCCCCCCCCACTCCCCGGCCTTTTCCTTGCTTGCTGTGCACAAAGAATTGCCCTGCCTCCCCTCCCCCTCTCCTCCTTGCCAAGCTTGCCAGCGGAGAGCGGGATAATGCGAAGGAAATAAATCTCCAGGGTCTAATGTGAAAAGATGCCGCTCGCGATCCTTTGAGGCGTCCTGGCCAGCAGCGTTTGGAAAGGAACGCAGTACCTTAGAAGCGCATCTTGGATTTCTGGTGGCGCGGGCTTACTTAGTTGACGTGCCAACAGAGGAGGAAAGTAACAGTTCAAACAAACAAGCTGAAATCTCGGCTTCCTGCAAAAGGTCGTTTCCTAGCCGATAACTTCTCTTGAGCGCTCATGCACCGAAAAAGAAAATCACGTTTGCTGAGTTTAGGTACGTTTAGGGAGATGTTAGTTGTTGAAGTGTGGAATTACAACTTTCAAGGCTCTAAAATCTCTATATTGTCCTGTGTGCTGGTATGGGGTAACCAGGGAAAGAGTAAAAGTACAAAGGGGGTGGTTGATCTACAGCATCTGTATAACATTAAAGCCACATGTAGCATTTACTCTTTCTTCTCTTATTCCTCTTTGAAACCCTCCTACACAAATCTTGTCTTGGCAATGATTGGTGACTGATCATTGGGGAAAAAAGCATGGCAGGGAATTGAACCTAATTACTTAGTGAATCCATTTAAATTAATGCCACTTAAGATGCTCCTTTGTACTTAAACATGTGCTATTATTGCTCAGTGGCATTTAAGACATCCTTTCAATGGGTCTACTTTGATTAAGTCTGGGTCCAACTCTGTGCCTTAGATGCACACGTCACAGTAAACCAAAATGTATGTTTTTAAGTTTTGGATTAATGTATTGTGTGAACTTAGCCACTATTTTTTAACCATGATTTGCAATTTAGTCATTAATAAGCCAATTCATTTATTTGACTTAGTTTGTGAATAAATCTGAGTAAGTCTTAAAAAAGCATAAAACAGATGATTTTAAAAACATTGGTTTTACACACTCAGTTCCTGGACAGAGGTTTGTTTTGCTAGAATCAATATAACAGTATATGGTTTTGTATATGGATAAAATTGTCTTTTTTAAGGGAACAAAGATAGAACTATTTTGGGGCAGGTTTATGCTATAAACATCAACTACATTATCTTCCACCTACAATATCTTCAGGATTTATTGGCAGCATAATTGAGAAGTAATCAAGTTATCTGCTTAGTTCTGTAGAGTGCCTGCCATAATAGGTTTCACATTTTTTCCTCTTTTCCGCCTCCCTTCTTCATCCTGTCTGAAAGGGAAATCTTTCAAATAGCAAACTTCCTGTTTAGCTTTCTGATGTATGTGAACTTTCTGCTGATTATCATGTGAGAGAAAATACTTAGCTTGTCTGCTAGAAAGAACAGTCATGATGAAGTAAAATATGATGTATAAAATAACTTTCAAGTCTATTCTGGTAAACTCTGTGTATATCACTATATCTAATTTAATTGAAAACATTGTCATTTGGTTTTATACAAAAGTGAGTTTTGGGGGTTTTTGTTTCTACTGTGTACCTGAACATCAAAGCCCAACTTGTTTTAACTGGATTTACGTATTACATATCCTGATCTATTTCTTCACATTGTTTTTCTCATTTTATAGCTCTGCATCATAGGTGATCCAAGTCACATGTGGTCCAGCAGCCCAGTTTTTGTAGCTCCCAGATATTCTCCAAAATCACACCAATGAAATTTGGCACTGAAACTGCAAAATTTTAGTAGCGTAGTTATTCGCCTTTTAATGCAAAATATCAAATGTGCACAGGACTTAGGCGCAACCATTTTACCATTTAAACTGTTCAGCCATGCCCCAAACAGGCCAACTCTTTTATCACTCTAGAGGCATCAGTGCCCATGGCCTCTTCAGCCACTTAGAGGACAAACTGCCCCCCCCCAAATTACAATATAGATGCCATGCCCTCTTCCATCCCATTTTGACCAGTCCATCCATTATTACTTTCTGCTGCTTTTGCTTGGTCAGCTTATGTTCTTTTTCCATGCTGGAAATAATCAGACCCATTTTCTTCTTCTGTATCTTCTTGAAAGCACTTGCCCACATCACAAAACACATTGTACAAACCATAGTTTGTTTGGGTTTGGTATGTTCAGTATGTTGTGTGAACCCAAGCACTGTGGTTTCTAAACCATAGTTTATGGATTAATGAAGGAGTTCTCAACATTCATGGTGCTCTGTTCCCCTCAAACTAATAAATGACTAACAGTACTACTGCTATTATGACTACTACCAATATTTATATGGATATCAATAGCTGTTGGAAGAATCAAGCTTTCTCCAATTGTGTGAACTTTTTATCACTGCACTCTGGAAGACTGAAATGCCAGTTCCCATCAGTTCCAGTCAGCTGCCTGGAGATGATGGGATTTGAACTCCTTCCCATACCAGGAAGCAAGCCAATTAGTGGAAAAACTACTGCTGAAGTCTTGTTCCTGGAGAGGCCAGTTGGTCTGTAGGGATGGGCTTCTGCTTCACCTGCCTGCATCCTGTTTGTGTATGTATTTGTTTTTTCCTTTCTCCTGCTGGGGACTGGATCCCCCAGGCCACTGAGTGCATTGAGACAGGTGTGGTTAGGGGTGACTGAGTTCCTGATGGGTCATAGTGAGTTATAGGAGCATTGTCTTGTGGTGATGGTGGTGGGGAGATTGGATATATGTGCCTGGATCTGGGAAGGAAGCATAGCAGGGGTGGGAAGTGGGGAGCTGAGAGGGGTAGGCAGAGCCATCTTGATGGTGATGGGCTGAGGAAGATATGGCAGGAATCCAAGGGTGGGCCACACTCAGACACTAGGCTGCTGTTTAGACAGCAAACATACTGTCTGGGTCTCAGTTTCTACCCTCAGTGCTTGGCACTGGCCACCGGATCCTCAGAGGCCCTGGGTTTTGGCTGTTGCTTTTGAATGCCAGTTCAGTGTGTAACAAAGCTGCCCTTATCCATGATCTTATCTTGGAGGAGAGTGTCAACTTGGGGTGTTTTACCAAGACCTGGTTGAGCCCAGACCTGGTTGGGCCCTCTTGGAAATGTGCCCACCTGGGTTTAGGGTTCTACACCAGCTGAGAGCCCAGGGAAGGGGAGAAGAGGGATGGCTGTTGTTATCAGTGAGTTGTTACAGGCTTTTAGGGGCTCCATTCTGCAGATAACCTGATGTGAGGTGCTCTGGTTGAAGTTGGGCTTAAGGGAACAGTTGACATTGCTGCTGGTATACCATCCTCCCTGCTGCCCAGCAGCATCTCAGCCTGAGCTGCTGGATTTTGTTCCTAGGTTTGCCATAAAGTCCTCAAGGTTGTTGGTGCTTGGGGATTTGAATTTGCCATCTGGTGATGTTGAATCTGGGATGGCTCAGGAGTTCATAGCCTCTATGCAGCCATGGACCTGTCCCAAGTCACTGAAAGCCCGACACATATTGGAGGTTGCACGTTATATCTGGTTTTTGTCTTGGGGCGGTTGAGATGTGATCTGGCAGTAGAGGACATTAGCATCAGTCTATTGCCATGAACAAATCACTCTCTGGTTGCCTTTTGGCTCCCTTCACCCATCCCTTCAGGGAGACAGGGCCCGTTTGATCAGTCCACTCCAGGAGATTGATGGATCCAGTAGGATTCCAGAGAGAGCTTGCAGTTTTCCCTGAAGATCTGGTGGGTGGTTTGTCTGAAGCCCTAGTTGCTACCTGGAGTGGGCGAGTGGCTGGGGCTGTGGATGATCTCTCTCCTTTGTGGCCTCTCCCTGTGCACTGATCCTTGGATGCATCTTGGTTTACTAAGGACTCTGGGAGATGATGCAACAGAAGAGATGCCTGGAGCACCATTGGAGGAAGACTTGAAGCAAGTATGACTGCACATGGGGAAAAGCCCATATTAGGGATTACCTCATGGTGATAATGTCAGCAAAATATCAATATTTTTCTGTCTTTATTGCGTCTGCTGATTGCCATTCAGCAGCTCTGTTAGGGTAACCTGATCCCTATTGGGTTACTGTGAGGCTATCTGAGAGATAAAGTCACTCATATTCATTTCGACTTGGACTCTGACTAGGCAGTGCAGGCTGAGGTATTTGGGCACAGGCTGAGGTATTTGGGCACAGGCTGATAGTGTGATCTGGGATGAGTTTGAGCTAGTGACTCCTGAGGAAGTGGAGAGGTTTTTCTGAGCAGTCAGCTCAGCCATCTGTTTACTGAATCTGGGCCCTCTTGGATTGTAAAAGCAGCCAGGGAAGTGACCTACAGTTGTGTCCAATTCATGGTGTCAGCCTCTCTGAAGGAGGGGATGGTACTTCTTGCCTTGAAAGAGGTGGTGGTCCACCCCCTTCTCAAGATGCCGCCCTTGGACCTAGTGGTTTTCAACAATTACCATTAGGAAATTATCTTTTTGGGGAAGGGGAAGGTTGTTGAGAAGGTGATCAGTCTGCAAATGGTGAGAACTCTGGAGGAAATGGGTTATATAGACCCATTTCAATCGGGTTATAGGCTGGGATTTAGTATTAAGACTGCTTTGGTCATGCTTATTGATGACCTGTGGCAGAGCTGGGATAGGGGTGCACTCCTTGATTTCCTTGATCACTCCTCAATCTCCTTGCACTCTTTGATCTCCTTGATCCATGGCTTTCAGTACCATCAATCATGGTATCCTTGTGAGCCACTCCATTTTACAGTGGTTCTCTTCTTTTCTCTGGGGCTGGTTACAGTCGGTGTTGGTTGGGGGACAGAGATCACTCCCTAGGCTTTATGGGGTGCTGCAGGATTCTAGTCTCTCTCCCCTCCTTTTCAACATCTACATGAAACCACTGGGTAAAGTCACCTGCTGGGTAAAGAACCCATCATCATCAGTATGTTGATGATACCCAATTATATCTTTCGACCCTGGCCAGTGAAGTGAAGCTGTCAAGGTTCTGTTCCAGTGCCTGGAGGCT